TATTCTGCAAGCATGGAACAAAGACACCCATCATTGTACCAAACTTAGGTCCAGTTTCCTGCGAACCAAATGAAAGCAACGGAGTAAGTAATACAGTTTTCATAAATATCCATATATCCAAATGACGTAAACCAAATAAACAGAAACATAGAGGTCAATGAAAATCAATGGAACACTGAATGACTTTTGGAGAGCACGAATGAAAACTCAAATGTACAAATCAGCAACTTAAAGTTGACTACATATATTTAGGGATGTAGCAAATCGTCAAAACCCAAGTACTACTCTTTCCTGTTAACTAAGTCCAAATATACCAACTCCTAGTTATTCATGATTAACTAGGAGAAGTGTGACGAAGTATTAAACAGATGGCACTCGTCGCAAATGTTGGAACTGGGGACAACCTTTGGACGTCCAATGGTGATTGCTACATCCTCTCCCTCCCTAGGACTCGAAGGGGCTTGGGTCTGTTCTCCTGTCATGCTGTTCAGATTCAGCCAGATGCTTATGTCATAAAGTAAAACCAATGGTTCAAACTATTTATTTGGGTAGCACATGCTTAATATATTAGTCAAATACTATGTGTCCTTAACAAAAGGAGATTGATCTCAAGTTTTTAAGGCGGCCTAATAAAATTACAAAAAGATGGATTGTACCTCTTGAGTCCCAAAATATTAACAAGTGAATCAAACCCAAAAAGCTCCAGCTTTGAATCCCCTTGAGATCCACTCGATGTAGCATGATCACTAGAACCTTCTTGCATGCTTGGATCAATAGTTAGATTAGCACCACCAGGCCTAAGGTTCCTATGACATACATAAGAGTAAGTGTGAGTTCATAAATTTGCTTCTAGAGAGTTTTTGTTATCTAAATCATCTTACTAATTATAATGACCATGGAAAGAAACACATGGAACGAAATCTGCAGAAATTATGCCTAATAATCTGATATGGAGTATGCAACCAGAAATAGCAAATGGAGCAGGGAAGCCAGTAGGTACAACAAAAAGATATATGTTCGTGCGAAAATAAGTAAGCTCGACATCAAATATCGATATATGAGTACACACAAAACATCGATATATGAGTACACATAAAACATCATATGGCAAAAGAAATATCTACTAGAGTCATTCAAAATTACTCAAACCCAAAGAGATAACAATATCAACACCAATTTCAGAAGTCAAAGAGATGGCATCACCAAATTGATTGAAGATATTCTACAAACAAACATGACTCATGCGAATTTCACACTCTTGCTCTTAATGCCCTGAGCACTAAATGAAAGAAGCAACTCCAAAAGGCAGCCCACAGACAGCATGTAGTTAAAGAAATCAACCTCACATGCATTTGCACTGCTTCTCGTCAGTTCCTACACACCTACACTATCATCCGAATCCAACTGTTCAGTTGAACACCCCATTCTGCTAAATAACAAACTCACGGTCAAGACAATGCAAGCACGAATTCGCAGCAGTTTAACATTTGCTAAATCCGAGACACTTATATTGGTCGTGTATCAAACAAAAATGCCATAAAAATGAGACGAAGTATGTATGGCAGCACCACCTAGGCGGCTGGGGCGTCACGGCGTCGTGGCCGGTGACGGAGGTGGAGCCGCCGGGGCCGGGCTCCATGGAGGTCATCTGGATGACGGCGCTGTCGTCGGAGCCCACGGGCCGGTACCTGCGCCCAACCGGCGGCGCCGGCATCGGCAGCCCCTCCTCCGCGGCCTCGATCTCCCCGTTCTCCATCGCGGCTCGCTGCATCACACATAAAACGGGTGGCGCCGTGAGATCCAGGATCCAGAGCACCCGCCGAAGCGCTCCTGGTGGCCATGGATCTGAATCCGAGGCCGGCAGAGCGCGGGGGGCAAGCAGGGGCTGCTCGGGCGGCGGCCGGGCGCGGTGGGCGGAAGCTTACTCACCAGGCTCGGCGGGGAGCGGGGGGCGGTCGCTGCGGCGATGAGAGAGCGGCCGGTCGCTCGCCGGCGACGAACGAGGCGGGGGGAACTGATGGGGTAGGTGGGCACCCTGGAAAGCAGCCGTCTTTGAGTTGAGGACACGGCAGTTGACGCTGGCAAGGAGAGGGATTGCTCCCCCACGAAGGTCCCTGCCTTGCGCGTTGACTTTTGACTTTTTTTAAGATAACTTTCAATCTAATTTTGCTATTAAAAATTACAACTGCTCAAAAATGCCATAGTTTCATGTGTTGTTTTGTACGAGTATTAAATGTTGGAACAAACAAAAGTTCAAAAAAAAGTATTGAAACAAACAAGGTAAAATAGTTGGTAAGGCAAGTGCACATGGCATAGTTATGAGAGGAAACAAAAAAGGACTTCAAGCTAAGCTAAGCAGGAGATGATAAACATGGCATGGTTCTTTACAGCTTTATAAACCGCCCACACCCCTAGGCACCACATAACGGAACCATGTCTCAGTACTAGTGACCATGCACTCTTGATAGTACAGGCCTAATCAGCTACTCGGTATTCCTGGCTCATCCACGGTGCGTTTAGACGTGAGGTATTGGGAATCTATAAGCTATGCTTTTGATGTGACGGCGGCCCGATCGTTCGATAAGAGTGGGGATAACTATCGATTTGGTGAATTTTGACCTTGACGATCCGGCTATACCGTATCCGACGATACGCCTCGACAACCGCTAAACCAATCTCCGATGGTTATTGACCTTGTCGTAGACACGATCAACCTGAACAACGAGGTTCGAGTTCCTGCAAGCAACCGAAAAACAGGCAAAAACAAAGGTGAATTGCAACTGAAATTGCGGATGAAAAATTAAGCACATCAACTAAATCAAAATTTGGGGTTCCATTATGGATCTGACAAGGCGGTAGTCCTACACGTCTCGTAGATGCGAATTGTAGCAAAAGCTAGACAATACAATAAAACCCGAGTCTAAACCTAGATGAACGCTAACTATTTATTAAGTCCGTACGGCCGCCGCCTAGGAGCTACGCGTTGACGTGTCCAACACCGCTACGATTTGAAGGAAAAAATAATCATCATCAGGCCGGCCCACATGTAGATAGAATATTGTATGGTTTCCTTCCTTATTTGATGAGGTGGGCTTGTGTGTACGTGGCTTCCTCCTTCTCTCCTTTTGCATGTACGTAGCATGGAGCATAGATGGTTCGATTGGTTCTTGCATGCAATAGTGCTCCTGCTGGTGTAGTCAACGTGCAACATTTTCCATCTCCTGGCTTTATATTACTTTCTCTCGTCAGATCTTCAACACCTTCGTTTCTGAGTACAAGTAAATCGGAACATGAGCGTAATATCATATTCTTGTCAGCTAAATCATATGTATAAATGAGCGAAGTACCTGGCCATTTATCTGTCTCATACGGGCTCTAGTCATAGGTCCCGACGGAATTGATGAAGGAGCCGCGGCGGGTTTAACGGCAGAAGAGATGTCCTCATCAGCTTTCAGCCATGACCTATGTGAATCAACATGGATGCATTGCCAGGTGACAATTTTATGGTGAAGTATGTCCAGGACATGGTGACTACAGGGTTGGTATTGGCAATCTCATCCAACCCTTCCCACTTTTGTATACATCGTGGTTTACCAGTCCAAGGGTTGGTATTTTTGTCTGAAGCGTAAACACAAATATACTCTATTTAGCATACAAGTGTAGCTATATTGATTGTATTAGCAAATATTGATATTGTGACTTGTGTGGCAATCATCATTTTCGGATACATGGCATGGTATTCTAATGGGCTTGTGATATGTATGGTGGCGACTGGTCTAGCTTGTCTATCTGGTTCATCTGTAAAAAAAATACTATTCAATTAGTTTGTGGGCGGCTATTGGGGTACCAATAATATGGCTCGAAGCTTGACAGCTTGCTACGCAGGGTCCCTCGTCATCTGTATGGACAAGTTCTAGTTAGTGTTATATGAACTTGCTGTTGGCACGTTTCACCGACGGATTGAAAATCAATCTAGGAACTACACCATCTAGATGTACAAGTTTGCCTCGCACTATGACCTGATATATGTAAATATATGTTCGAACACAATGCTCCCATTATCATTATATGTCTTTTTGTCTAGTTTAGTTCATCCGTCTTGCCAAGCTAATCTCTACTATTATCTCTACTATTAAAGAATGATCAAATCTCTACTATTAAAGAAGGATCAAACGTCGTGATGGTCCAACCTCGTTCGACCCTCACCTCCCTTCTTACGACAACCATCGTGCTACCAACCTCCACCCCACCTGGTCAGCTCCACGCGAAGGAAACAATGCAATCCGCACGACACACGACGGTTTGACCTGGCTCCCATGCTCCCCGACGATAGAAGAAGGAAAAAACATCCACGAGCGCACACGTCTCATGCCCCATCTCCCACAAACCCCCCTCTCTCTCCCGAGAAACTTGCCGCCGCCGTCCAACCTGAATCAGCCGCTCTCCCTCGTGCTCCTGGCCGCCGACGCCCTCAAGCCGTGGCACAAGGCGGTGCTGCCTCCGACTCTCGCACCTACCTCCTGACCGGTGCTTGCTGGAAATCACGTCTTCCAAGCCCAAGATGAAGGCCAGTCCCGAATCCCTCTTCGGCTCCTCGTCGCCATCCGGCAGCGAAGGGTCTCTCTCTCCCATCGCAGTCAGTCGCGGCTTCCTCTAGCCCTCCTCACTGGTGACGCCAAGACCGGATCCACGCCGTGGGAGGTGTCCACCGTCGGCAACCTGAGGAGCCTCGCCACCTCGAGCCTCAACTCGCTCAAGCGTAGCCTCGACGCGCTCCACGGCCACTCCGCCCGTGACCTCGAGGCCTCCCACTTCCGAATCTCCAAGCGCATCAAGGTGACCTCTCTGATCCCATTCCTTTGGCAATCCTTAGCGCATCGATCGATCTTGAGATGTGCCTAGATGTGATGTGATGGATCGCCTTCGGTGTCTATTGATGTTGTTCACCTAAGATGCAGATGTAGAGCTCCCTGGAGCTGGCGGAGAAGGAGCATAGGAAGATGTTTGAGAAGATCACGGAGCGTGATGAGGAGATGAAAGTACACTTATTCGATTCCATGTTTGATCCAGTGTTGGTCGTGAGTGCTACAGTTTATCTGAAAACAATTCCTGTCTGTGAAATTACAAGAAGTTGATGACAGAGGTGCAGAGCTCCCTACAGCTGGCGGAGAAGGAGCATAGGAAGATGTTCGAGAAGATCGCCGAGCATGCTGAGGAGATGAAGGTACACTCATTCGATTCCATGGTTGATCAAGTGTTGGTTGTGAGTGCTACAGTTTATCTGGAAATAATTCCTGTCTGTGAAATTACAAGAAGTTGATGACAGAGGTGCAGTTGTCTTCATCTCGAGGTACTGCAGCGAGCAAACACAGACATCTTCGAACTTTAGTTCAATTATTTACTAACTTGGTTGGCACCGATCAGTTTGCAAGGTGACCTTACCTGAGATGGCAAAGTCCGTAGCCAGAGTTATTGATGGCTTGCGCAGTCGCTACAACATCCAACCTACGCGAGTTTAGCATAGCTCTCTTAGTTGGTAATCACTTCTCCTGTCATCAACTTGACATATGAGTTGCTCATGTTCAGTAAATTTTCATGAACGTATGAGTGTTTGTCCATAAAAATTGGCAGGTGTAGTATGTATCTACCAGGGATAGTAATTATTCTTGGTTACAGGATACCAAAGTGTTGTGGTTCATTGGGTCCATCTCCTCCTTCGCCATCTACTACGGCACCTGCGTGCTCTCTGAGTCAATGCTCTCCGCCCATTCGTGCCATCTTCGTCGGTTGCTCCTGTCCTGCACAAGGTCATGCACAACATGTGCCTTGCCGGATGCCTTCGATGCCCCACTCTTGATCAGGTTTGTCATGCAGCACCTGATCGATGCACCAAACTACAAAAGGGCTCAGTGGTGGACTGATGGGGAGGATGCATCGATGCGGATTGCGGAAGGTCATTACAAAGGAATTCTAGGGGAATCGTACCAAGGATCCTGCACAATGCGAGCCTTGCTATTGTATGCCTTCGAGACATCGAGGCTACAGTGAAGATGGAGTTATTTCTTTCAGGAAGGTAGCCTCTTGTTTTGGGTACTGCAGTTTTTTTGAAGCTACCTAGGTAGGTATAATGAAGATGATGGGTTCGCTTCAGCATAATTTCCGTTTCAGTTATTGAGTTCTTTGAAGGCTACAACAATTATAATACGAACCAGTTGTGAATCTCTCATTTGTTTTGATTAGTTCTAAGTTGTTCTGTGGCATACAATTTCAGACTGGGTGGTCTTGAAGTAACGTTACACAAATTACTTCTATTAGGTGTATGCATGCTTGTGCGTGTGATTACAATGGAAGTGCACATACATGAATTTTTTAGTGGTCCCCACTAACTGAAAGCATATTGTTGGAGTAAAAGCTCTCCACTACAGTTCCATCCATAAGAAAATAACAAACATGCGAATATTCAAGAACTTATGGTGTCATTCCTTGCTACTGATCAGAAAAAAATCTCACAATTATAGAGTATTTTCAAGCATACCAAATTATATGGTTGTGTACATTGAGACCACATAAACCATATATGATGGATTTTTTGCCATAGTGTTAAGAAATAGCATCACAGTTAGAAACTATTTTGAAGCATACCAAATTATATAAGTTTGCCGGCATCTATTAGGTGTATGTTGTCCTTTCAGCGATTTAGGCATACTGTAGACACACATAGTTCGTAGGAAAAGGAACATGCTATTGCTCATCACTGTAAGTATTGTACGCAAGATAAATTTGCATCATGTAGGTAGTGAATACTCTAATCATGATCAAGTTCCTAGGCACTTCTTGTACAAGCACCATCTGCTATGAAATCTTTAGAGTTTTTTTATGACACAATTTACAAGCACCATGTGAGCGAATGAGGAATGCTAGCGCTAGCAGCTACTGCGAGCCGCAGTGGACAGCGGTAGCAGCGGTGGTCAGCCGGACAACACAATGTCGGCGGCAGGCGGATAGTGGCAAGCAGCCCTACCGGTAGCTGCTGCTGTTAGAAGAATTGACGACTAGAGCATGTTGTCTTAATTTGTTCTCTGTTCCTATAGGAGGATTCAATTCCATTAATTGTTCAAACAGAAATGATTCCATTAGGGAGCTGTCTACTTTGTGATCTACTGTCATTCTTCTCTGTCCAGACTAACAATTGGATGTAGTTCTTTACGTATTTATTAGTGCAATCTTCTTGTCATTGTTTTAAAGATCGCATATGTATATGTGTGACTAGAGGTTATGACTTATAAGTGTTTCCGTTGATTCAGGAAATGCAAGTAAGGTGTACGTGTTAGTTTCCAGTGTTCATTGTAATTTCCTTGTCTTGGACGTAATTTATCTCAATTTAGATATGAGATATTGGACTTTGATTCTGCTTTGAATTTATTAACGCTCTAGAGTCCACCCTACCTAAAAAAATCGCCCTCAGCCACTGATGTACATCACAACTCTACCTTGGAAGTATATATGAGTATGGTGTACAGTGCACACAAACGAGGACTACGGCCTATGGAATATGTGTTCCTGGACCTGCTGCCATGTCAAGTCATGAGAGATTTGATCAAAACATGTTTCAGGTATATTCACCATGAATTTTTTATTATTAATTTGATGAGATCGATTACTTCTGCTACCATTTGATTCTGTAGGAAGGATACATACAACGATTTTGCTGAGGCAATGGATCTGGAAGAGATGGGGGTACTTGTTCATGTGTCATGCTCGTTCAAGAGCCTCATTGCTCATTCCACAAAGAGGCAAATGAGAATCATGTCTATACGAATGGAGAAGATGTAGGCTTATTCCCATAAAATCTTGTTCAGGAGCCCAGCAGCAGATAGAAAAGATGACATGGACCACGATAAAGATTTAAGAATCTTTCAGTTCAAATGTCTCTCCTGCAACCATTGTTTCTAGAGTAGATAGCTCTGATGACTTAAGGGTGTCACGGGCTAATGGTGCTGAGCCCCCAAAATGTATTGTAGTCAATGGATATTTCTGATAAAAACATTAGTTATCGAGTGATGATAGTGTTTGTCTATCGCAAACATTTAAACAGTTTAAATTGTGATTTGTATTGTTTGAGAGATTGCTAAGAAGCTCATTATATAATCTCTCTATATGGTAATTGCAAGGATTGTCAAATTTGTACAGTTTAAACATCATCAGGCTAAACATGTTTAAGTTTGAGCAAGTTAATAGAAAATAATATCATCATCTACGATGCCAAATAAAATTGCACTATAAGAAGTTTGACTTAGGAAAACCTAATATAACATGTGGGGCAAGGAAATATACTTGAAAGACATGAGGTGATTGCCTCTATGGGGAAAGTAGATATTTGTCCGAGTGATGCATGCTACTCATGCTCATCAAGTACAATGATCTTTACCGAAAAATGTTTTTTTTACCGAAAAAGAGTACAATGATCTTTTGATCAATGTATGTATCTTTATATAAGTCTGTTGTTCCGTGGCAACGCACGGGCAGTCGACTAGTATATGCTAAATAGGGGCATGTACTAGTACAAAAGACTAAAAATCTGAAAACAGACACACATAAGCCGAAGAGAGTTGATTAATGATGAACAATAAAGTAACTAATCACATTTTTTGTCATGAGTGGGGATCTCTGGCCACCGTGCGTGGTGCCACCCCCAGTGGATACGGTTGAATCTGGATCCTGTGCAGTGCTAATCAACATTGGACGTTAGGCTTGCCCTGTAACCATCTGACAAACGTGTTGGTGTGGTAGGCAAAAAGGCAGACACAGATAGCAGATAGATGTTGGGTCATTCTAGTAGGGCTATACCTAGGATGTACATTGGTGCGGTCTTTCTTGCAAATTTCAATCCTTTGTGGGGGGGGTGGGGGGATTCAGCTAAAACCCCCTTGAAAGTTTTAACTTTGTGTGGTCACGGATCAAAATATGAGGCTAGTGGGCATGGGGAGCAAGCAGGGCGGCTCGGGAGACGACGGGCGCAGTCACCGGATGCTTACTTACCGGGCTCGCTAGAGAATGGGACACGCTCCAGCGATGAAAGACTAACCAGTCACTCGCCGGTGACCAACGAGGCAGTGGAACTATAACATGGTACGGGTGGTTTGGCTTCGCTTTTCCAGTAAGCACCCTGGAAAGCAGGGCCGTCTTCAACTTGAGGACACGAGAGTTGATGGTGGGAGGAATTACTTCCCCGCCCTTCCGTGCTGACTTTTGACTGGAAGAAGAGACGAAAGAATGTTGGTGTGCACGTCGCCGAGTACGTGCAGATCGGATCGGGCGCCTCAAGAGCCATTTGTATTTGGAGCGTGACAGTCATTTGATTTGGGATGTGTCAACCCCATCGTTTACAATATGATCCATGTTCTCGGCCGTTGCTCAACTTTGTCGGTCCGCAACACAGCTAGTGTAGTGCTCGACTCTCTTGCAACACATCCCAGGTTGCAAAAGCGTGTGGGGGTTACTACGCCCTGCACGATAAAAGGTTGATCGGACGGTTGCGGTCGACGCGCCCCCAATTATCAACTAACTGAGCACAAGCGTTTTCCAAAAATGTGTCAACTATTATATACACCTTTAAGACTAGCATTGGGTCAAATAAGCGCGGTATCAAATCCGATGAACTGAAATCTGAACCGAAACCAACACCGAATTAACTTAGTTTTTTGGCCATTTTGATAGCACATCACGCGCATGACTGATGAGTGTGTGTGGTGTTGTGCCTCGCCGCAGATGGGCTATAGTGATGGTTTGTGGGGTGCTATTGTGTACTGGTGTTCGAATTAAAGATTGTTAAGACTACTGGTAGAGAAAGGATTGGTAAGACAAACCCACATGGCATAGTTAGATCTTGTATGATGCAAGGTGATTAGAAAAATAAACTGGTGTTTTTTAAGCACTGATGCTTATCTCTACTCCTAATGAAGCAGTTGGTAGTCTCCGCCGGTCAATTTTCGTCTCACCTCCACTGGTTTTTTTTAGTCCTAAAAAAATCTACGAAATTTCGTAGGTTAACCAGGGACAACTCCCACCTCCCAGGTTTTTTTCGTCCCACCTTCCATGGTTTTTTTTGGTACCTCGTCCCACCTCACACTGAGCCGCCACGAACAGCAAAAACCGCCTACCTTAGCCAAATCAACAAATCTCTCTCATTAATGCAATTTTCTTTAGGAAACAAATAATAGATTCTTTCCTACCTTAGCCAAATCAACGGATCTCTCTCGTTAATGCAATTTGCTTTAGCAAACAAATAATAAATTCTTTCCTACCTTAGCCAAATCAACGGATCTCTCCCATTAATGCAATTTGCTTTCACAAACAAATAATAGATTTTTTCCTACCTTAGCCAAATCAACGGATCTCTCTCATTAATGCAATTTGTTTTAGGAAACAAATAATAGATTTTCACGAAACAAATAATCTCTAATCTCTATCTCTAATCTCTATCTCTAATCTCTATCTCTAATATCTAATCTCTAATCTCTAATAATAATAATAATAATAATCCCTACTCCTAATGGACGAGTTGGTTGAATAGTCCCACCACTTTTGTCTGGTTTTTCTTCGTCCGGTTTATTTTCGTCTCACATCCCACCACCATATCTACTCACGTTAATTTTTTTTACCCTCACAATAAAAAGTTTCCTAACCTTTCCAAAGTTTCCTAACTAGATACATTATAAACGGGCAGGAACTGATAGCACGTTACCAATCAATAAAATTTAGTTTCATGACAATCAATTCCAAATCCTAATTTTCCTAATACGTCGATCTTTCTCAAATCCTAATAAGCCCTCTTCCGCTTTCCTTTTTCACCGCCCCACCTAGAAAAAAAACCCATCAATCACGCAACCCCTCCCTGCCTCTCCCCAACTCCCCAAGCGACATCCTCTCTCCCCTCCCTGCCGTCCCCCAAGACACCCTCGTCGGCGCACTCTTAATCGGAGCGCCGTCCGCTGGAAGCCGGAGTCGGGAAGGAGAGCAGCCACCAGCGGGGGAGACCACAAGGGGAGGTGTTGGTTCTTCCTCCGATTGATGCATCCGCTCGTGGGGGCATTGCTGGTGGGGGGCGAGGAGCGATGTTGGTGGCCGTGCTGGGGCCCGGCGGCGTGGGCGGGCGCGCTGGAACTGGTTGTGTCGATGGTGTCGTTACCGCCGGAGACCACGTTCGTGTGGGCGCTGGCCAGCGCCGGGTGCGTGGCCGGGTAGGAGCAGTTGGTAGTCTCCGCCGGTCAATTTTTGTCCCACCTCCACTGGGTTTTTTTCGTCCTAAAAAAATCTACGAAATTCCGTAGGTTAACCAGGGACAACTCCCACCTCCCAGGTTTTTTTCCGTCCCACCTCCCATGGTTTTTTTGGTACCTCGTCCCACCTCACACTGAGCCGCCACGAACCGCAAAAACCGCCTACCTTAGCCAAATCAACAAATCTCTCTCATTAATGCAATTTTCTTTAGGAAACAAATAATAGATTCTTTCCTACCTTAGCCAAATCAACGGATCTCTCCCATTAATGCAATTTGCTTTAGCAAACAAATAATAGATTCTTTCTTACCTTAGCCAAATCAACGGATCTCTCCCATTAATGCAATTTGCTTTAGCAAACAAATAATAGATTCTTTCCTACCTTAGCCAAATCAACGGATCTCTCTCATTAATGCAATTTGCTTTAGGAAACAAATAATAGATTTTCAGGTAATAAATAATCTCTAATCTCTATCTCTAATATCTAATCTCTAATCTCTAATAATAATGATAATAATAATAATCTCTACTCCTAATGGACGAGTTGGTTGAATAGTCCCACCACTTTCGTCTGGTTTTTTTCGTCCGGTTTATTTTCGTCTCACATCCCACCACCATATCTACTCACGTTAATTTTTTTTACCCTCACAATAAAAAGTTTCCTAAACTTTCCAAAGTTTCCTAACTAGACACGTTATAAACGGGTAGGAACTGATAGCACGTTACCAATCAATAAAATTTAGTTTCATGACAATCAATTCCAAATCCTAATTTTCCTAATACGTCGATCTTTCTCAAATCCTAATAAGCCCTCTTCCTCTTTCCTTTTTCACCGCTCCACCTAGAAAAAAACCCATCAATCATGCAACCCCTCCCTGCCTCTCCCCAACTCCCCAAGCGACATCCTCTCTCCCCTCCCTGCCGTCCCCCAAGACGCCCTCGTCGGCGCACTCTTCATCGGAGCACCGTCCGCTGGAAGCCGGAGTCGGGAAGGAGAGCAGCCACCAGCGGGGGAGACCACGAGGGGAGGTGTTGGTTCTTCCTCCGATTGATGCATCCGCTCGTGGGGACATTGCTGGTGGGGGGCGAGGAGCGATGTTGGTGGCCGTGCTGGGGCCCGGCGGCGTGGGCGGGCGCGCTGGAACTGGTTGTGTCGATGGCGTCGTTACCGCCGGAGACCACGTTCGTGTGGGTGCTGGCCAGCGCCGGGTGCGTGGCCGGGTAGGAGCAGTTGGTAGTCTCCACCGGTCAATTTTCGTCCCACCTCCACTGGGTTTTTTTCGTCCTAAAAAAATCTACGAAATTTCGTAGGTTAACCAGGGACAACTCCCACCTCCCAGGTTTTTTTTCGTCCCACCTCCCATGGTTTTTTTGGTACCTCGTCCCACCTCACACTGAGCCGCCATGAACTGCAAAAACCGCCTACCTTAGCCAAATCAACAAATCTCTCTCGTTAATGCAAATTTCTTTAGGAAACAAATAATAGATTCTTTCCTACCTTAGCCAAATCAACGGATCTCTCCCATTAATGCAATTTGCTTTAGCAAACAAATA